ACTGCATTCAAAAGTGTGATGAAGTGGTGGTGTAGCTTATTTTGTTCACGGTCTTGTTGTCGGTTTGCTCTTCTTAAAGGAAATTTTAAAAAAGAATCAGTTTTAAAGGTTGCTATTCCCAGAAATACTTTCCCTGTGGTTATGGACGCAACACATTGTCTTTACTGCCAAAAGACTGGGTCCCCCACCATGTCAATGAATCCTGTAATCAGGTTGCAATAGTAACAGATTACGGCTGTCATGTTTCTTTTTTTCTGCAGGTTCTGATTTCTCTCCCTATCTCTGGTTTTCTTCTAGTAAGGGATACTCCCTGGCTCATTTTGCTTAGGCCATCCAGGAGAACTTAAGTGGGCCAATAGTTTCCATTACATTTATCTCCTCTCTTGTCTTTTGCAGCTAACCTAAATGAGTGCCACATAAGCAGATAAGATACAGTCTGAACTACATTTGCATCAGTGGTAGTTTGAGAAAAACAAAACCTTATTTCTAGAAGTTTTCCTGAAACAGCGCCTTTTCCATAAACAACAAAAATAGCTTGAGCAAAACTTTTACAATAGTTGATGGCAAATAAATACTTAATGCAAAACCAAACATCCGTTCTTAAACCCTGGGTACAGCCCCAGTGTGCTGCAGGAGCGATGCAGGAGGACCTAGAACCAGTCGAGAATGCAGAGCAAAGGATTTTCCCAGCATGAGTAAACAGGCTGACACAATGCTGGCAGCCCCATTCCTAACTTTGCCATGCTTCTTCCCGCTCTAGCCTGCACTGTTGCCCCTGCAGTGCAGGAACACTGCCCCAGGCGCGCATCTCAAGGTGTTTGCTCAAAACACCTTGGATGGTGGAAACCCTGATGTTATCCTGACTTATACCAGGTCTGGGTTTCCTTGGGCATACCAAGCTTGAGCTCTCCTTTGGGTCTCTCTTCTGGTTTAACCAAGCATGAACATGACCTTGGCACAACTTGTGATTTTAACAGAAGCCAAAATGCAAAATGCCTCCCACTGATGCTGATGCTGAAAGCCCCTCTCCTCGGGTGCTGAATGGAGGTGAGCAGGAGCCAAGGCTCTGTGCTGGCTATGGATCCACCACCACACCTTAGGGGTCTCACCCTCTCTGCCCTCCAAACGTGCACTCAGAAGCGAGTCCATGCCAAGTCATTCTCTGAGGTGAAAACACAGCAAACACATTTGCTGCCGCCTGCCTACTCCAGAGGATTTCCTGGTGCTTTCAGGAGACTGAAAGCAAGCTGAAATTTTCTAGTGCTTTAAATGAGGACTAGGCATTGGTGGGAGGCTTGTTTAGTATCTGAGTGGGATCATGACTACGATGTTCATCTGCATGTTACCAGCATCGAATATACGCAGTTGGGAGCAGTTTGAAGACGAGTAGGCTCAGAAAGAAAGAAAAACTCTTCCAGGGAGGGAGGAGGCAGAGTGAAAGTCTGCTAAGGCTTGCAGCAGGAAAAGATGGAGATCTGGGAGTGGGATAATCTCTCTAGGAGGAGGAGATTAGCCACAGAAAATCAACACTTGATGGGAGGCTGCTCTAAACACGTACTGGGAGGATGGTATTTACCCTCCAGGGAGTAGCAGGGCAGGTGCCAAACCTGCCTGTTGAAGGAGCAGGAGGTTACCAGCCAAACCAGCACACAGTGACCCCTGGGGGACCTTTCTTTCAAACACGCCATTTGATGTCTGGCAGCCCTGTTTCACACAGCAATGATGTAATAATACAGAAAGTTGACAGCTGCTGTTAGCATCTGATTCTGCTCAGATTGCTAACGCTGGTGTTCCAGGCGGTTTTTCAGGGATCTCTGAAGGAGCAGTCTGTGCACAATGGTTGTAAGGTGTCTTTTAGCGTGCACTTAGCAGTTGTCCACACATTTTGGTAGCCTTTCAAGTATGTGAAAAAGCCAACCAAGAATAGCTCATTGTTTTCAAAAATGTTTTAAGACAGGGAATGAATGTTTGCAGCTCGCTGAGGATTTTTGGATGTTTGGCAGGATGGTTCAAGGTGCTGTGGCTTTCTAGCAATGCTCCTGCGGTATTCTTTGCATTCTTTTGTCTGAGAGAGGGGAAAATGTATGACTGATTCCCACTTAATTAGGCCTCATCTGATAAACAGTTATGTCACTATTTACATATGAGTAGTCCCACTGAAGTCAAGTCCTACAGCTGTATACTTCATCTGGTAACAATGTAAATCCAAGATAAACAGACTTGGAACAAGAGATGTACATTGCCTTATATGTACGAACTACCTGAACATAGCAAATTCTGGGCCCTGTCATTCTGGCAAAAGCTAACAGCTATCCTGTTTCAACACCCCTTAAATGGATCACCTGACTATTAGTTTTAAACGGTGGACCAAACTCTACTCACTGGTCCTGACTTGTACTGATGTGTATGACTTGTCCAATGAGTAATTTTGAATCTATTGTGCCCCTCTATGGTAATAAGGAATAATAATTCCCTACACCTACTCTCATCAAGTGATTTTTCATGGCTGAATCTCCCATAGCCTAGGGATCAGCCCTTCTAGAGATAAAAACCATAGTCGGAAACAAGATGTAGAGAAAGGAAATGGCTGGAAACGCAACAGGCATCTGGGCTTAACTCTACTCCATTCCCTCTCCGGTACCTTTCTTGCAGGAATATCTCCCAGCTGTCTGTCAGTGACTCTCCTCCAGCACTTCTGTGCATTGACTGATGTCCCATCTTCAGCTCTGGTCCATCAGAACAACTTGGGCTGTTCTCCCACCAGTGAATGGCACAACAAGGAAAGGACTGTGATTGTTTTATAGTACCTCATCCTCTTCTGCCAGATAATTCTCATACTCCATAGCATCCCATATTACCCTACCAATGACCTTTTTTCCTTCCCTACACTTTGGTACCATTCTCTTGATTACTCTGCTGGTTTTGCATTTGTTACTTCAGACTGATGTGATTGAAGTGACATAAAGCAAATACATGCTTAATTTGGCCTAAGGAGCAAGGGAGGTTATAATCTGTCACCTATCCCCAAGTGGGTGGATTTCTATTGTGTTGTCTTAAGCAGAAGTCTTGACCAGGAGCTCTTATAGTTAGCTCTCTCTTTGCTTGTGGTACTGTCAGCATGACCCTGCCTTAGTATTCTTAGCAAACCCTATTGATTTGCTCTGGAAAATGCAGCTGGGCAGGACGGAAATGAACCAGTTCCTGCTGTGGATCTCCTGGGAAGCTTTAAAAGTTTAACATTACTACATCAGTATAATACTGTGACCCACCAAAGGATTCTTCTGGGCATCTCTGACAACTGAGACCTTCCTCAGAAAATTGAAATATCTAAGAACTTAATGAGATGAGAAGCTGAGGGGGAACAGTGTTGTAGGTACTGTAGGTACTTCCTTACAAGTGGCAGAGCTGGAGCTGCTTTCTCAATGAAAGACTCTTTTTTGAGCTATTAAATAAGTATGTAGAAATATTTTTTTTACTGATATTTCATATTTATAAAGTTCTCTCTACCCAGAACCACTGAGAACTCCATGGATTCAGAAACTTTTAAGACTTGAATACATATTTGTGTGGTCAAAATACGAACTGTGTGACTAGCTTCCCAAAGTAAATATTACCATAGTTATTTTATCCCCCTGAAGGAGGGGCAGGAGCTGTTTGCTTAGAAGGCTGGGGGAAGGCAGAATTCGCTGCAAGCCCACTTGCTGAAACAGTTTGGTTTGGAGTTGGTTTTTGGGTGGTTTCTTTGTTTGTTTTTTTTTTTTTCTTTAATGTTATTTAAAAAGCGGTATTCCCAACTAGTAGTAACACAAATGATGAGTACTTCCAACTGCTGGAAGAAAACTTCAGCTTCCTGACTGAAGGTCAATACTTAAGGATGCAGCTCGGGTGACAACTGATAGGGTGATCTATTGGGTGCAGCCTTACACCGGCAACAGCCTCTCTGAACGGCTCTGCCTGCTGCATGACATACAGCAAGTGCGGGACGCCGATGAAGGGATCCAGCAGTTCTTTCTCTTCAGGGCAGCGTTGCTGGAGACCACTTGACTTTTCTTCTAACACCTTGCCCCCGAGGCAGGGAAGCACCAGCTGTACCAGTCCTAGGGCAGCATCTGCTGGTTATTGCATGGATCAACATAGATGGTTGTCATGGAAGAGGCTGATTGCTTGGGCTCCCGGGCAGAGGTACCTGGGACGCGGGGGGTGGGCATGGGAGAAGGGGCGCTCGGAAGAAAACGACCCGTAAACGCGATTGCAAGAGTCGCTCGGGAGAGAATGTGAGCGGGCGATGAGCTACTGAGGCTTGGGCTTGCTTTTTCCTGTTAGGAGGGGCAGCTCTCACAAACTTTGGAGAGTTCGGGTTCAGTTGCCTGCAGTTCGACACCAAAGGCGAAGCAGCCCTCCCTGCATTCCAACCCCCACCCCGCAACCCACCCCGCCCCGCACACGCTCAGCGCTGGGCTGTTCAGCGAGTAATCAACTCGAGTTTCGGAGACAAAAATGCTGGGGCAAGGACTTTGTGCGACTTGTGGCAGGAATAACAGCGGGGACCGACCTCCTCCCGTGGGGAAAGGGACAGCGGTTGCGCCCGGGTGGGTGGTTTTACGCCGCGGACTGACGGACGGACGGAGCCGTAGCAGGAACGGCCGGGGACGGGCGGCGAGGAAGGGGAGAAGGGGAAGGCCGGGTCCCGGGATGCACCCTGCTTCCCTCCTCCCACTTGGTGTGGGGTAGCCCCGGGGGGCACAGCGGGGGAAGGAGGAGGTGCTGGGAATTTGCGCCTGGGAAAGGCAGGGGTTTCCGAAAGGAACTCGTCTTGGCAACTCTGCCACGCTCCTCTTGCGGCAGGAGGTAGGATGCAACAAGTCCCTGGAGCGCTTCCCGGTGTGAGCCGGAGTGAACGTGACATTTAAAAATAAATGAATAAAAAACCCCAAAAGGCAAACATTTACTTACCTGTCCCCAGCGGAGAGCTCTGGGGCCGGCCGCCGGTGCGGGCCAGGAGGCGGACGGAGGGTGGCGGGAGCCAGGGCTGGCTCCACTGCCGGGAAGGACTTTCCTCGGGAACTTTCCGTCCCGCTCTGGTTTCCTGGGAGGCGGCTGCGATCACGTTTTATACCGTTGTTAGCTGGTAACCCCTCTCATTCATTAAGCTCACGTAATAACTCAAAGGGAAACGTGACTCTGAGCTAAGGCGTTTGCGTAAATCTATAGGTTTTTAAAACTCCCTGCCAGTTGCTTTCTGTCTTCTGTAGGCACCAAGGTGGTGGAGAGTTTAAGCTTGCGGATATTGCAAAGGGTTATTAGATTCATAAGTCACACCAAGTGGTGGGCGATCCACTGAGCAAAGCAGAAGTTCTCACATGATGACTTCAAACAAGACACATTACCTTCCAGCATCTGTTGGAGAGACTGGATTTTAAGACACTTCTGTCTCCAGGACAGCAAAGAAACAATGGTGAGTACCAATAAAAAACCCTATTTTTATAACTGGAGAGACAACAACAACAACAACAACAAAATTAAGAAAAAGATTGAGTTGTTGCTTAACGACAGTATCTGGTATCACGGGCTCGGCTTTCTTGGCACTTACTATACCAGAGCAGCATGTCAGGCGCGGAGGCCGGGGGAATTGTGCTTTAGACGGTGTAACTTTAATCGCAAAGCTCTTTGATTTAAGGCTGCGATGAAGACGCCGCGCTTGAGAAACTTGGAGCTGCCGCCGGGAGCTCCCCCCCCCCCCCTTACCTTCCCCCCCCGGCTCTTTCCGCGGCTGACAGCCGGGGTGGGGGGGACGGGCACACACACACGCGGACGGACGCGCTCCGCGGCCCTCCGCGGGAGGGAGCGGTTGGGGAGATGGGGGGGGGGGGGCGCGGTGTGCGGAGCGGCGCGGCCGCGGCACGTGACGGCGCGGGGGGACGCGAAGCGGCGGAGGCAGCACCCTGGACAGAGGCGGCGGGGACCGGGCGGGGGCGGCCCTGCTCCGCATCGCTCCGCGCCCCGCTCCGCGCCCCTGCGGGCTCCGGGAGCTGCTGGCACTTGATACCGGCTTCTCCCCGCCGTCTTCCCCTTCCCCTCCGCCCCCCCCCTCTCCCTGCTCCCGGTCCTTCCCCTCCCCTCTCCGCCCGCCGCCCTCTCGCCCCGCTGTAGCTGGGCGAAGTTGGATTCCTGGTGGTGCGGGCTGGAATAGGAAACAGAGAGGAGGGGAAATAAAACACCCAAAACCAGACCCCACAGAGTCTTGCAAGCTCCGGGGCTTGGTTTGACGGTGTCAACTTTGGGAAATGCCAGTGTTTATCTCCGCGATCTAGCCACTGCCCGTGGTGTTAGCTGTGACCAAGGTAAGCGGAGGGGTGACCCCCCCCCCCCGGCCCCTGCCTCTCCCCCTCCGCGGCGCGGGGATGGGTGCCTGCTCTTTGCCATTAGTCTTTAGTTTTGTTACCTTGCTGGCTGCTCGGTGTGCAGAGGCGAGAAAAGGCAGGAGAAGCTTGGTGAGATTGTACTACGAGTTGAGTTAAGTTGTGTCTGATTTTAATCTGGGAATCTCTTCTCTATGTGCGTGTGCATGCTTTGGGCAGAGACGCAACTGAGCTTTACCTAGATAAGCAGATGCAACGGATTTTTTTATTTATTTATTTTTAACCCTCTAGCTAAGGATGCAAGTTGATTTTGCATAGCTAAAGAGATGCAGCTGAGCCCTAGCTAGCACTGTGCACAACTGATCCTGCATAGATAAAAAGACGCATCTGATCTTTACCTACATGGAAATGAGCTGGTCCTCAGCTTGAGGGAGTCCTGATGGCCCCTCTGTGTACGCAACCATCGGCTGGGAGGGAGAGCCGTGAATGTACTGCTGATGATACAATATCCGCAGTTACTTTGCTATAATTAAAGGGAGGGTGGTGGTGGGGTTTGACAAGCCTGAAACCCAAAGGCAGCTCCCCCCCCCCCCCCCCACCTGGAGATCATTCGGATAAGCTTTCTGCTCATCTCCCTCTCTCTAGTGCCTCCCTCTACCCCCTCCCCCCTTCCGATTCTTCCTACGTAGAAAGGTAGCTAATAATATTTAGTCTCCGGGCTAAAAATAAGCTCTGGAAAGTCAGCAGTTTGGCGAAGCAGCGGCGGTAGCGGCAGTGCTCTCAGGTAGAGAAGCTCTGGGGCTCTCCGGCTTCTCACGGAGATGTGTCCCTCTCCCCCCCCCCGCCCATGCTGCCGCGGAGGGGTGCGCTCCCGCGGAGGAGGAGTCCACGCTGCCTCCGCCGCTCTGCTCCGGCCAGCCTGCACCTCCGCGCTATGGGGATTCCCGGACACCGGCAGCACCCCGCCGGGGGAGGGGGACACGGAGCGGGGAGTCCGGTTCCCCTCAGCCCAGCTCGCCACTGCGCGGCGGTGACGGGAGCTCCCTGCGGCAGAACCGGCGGCGCCCCGCGGCCGGCCCCGCTGCGGCGCCGTGGCCCGCCGGGGAAGGAAGGAGGGAGGGAGCGGGTGAGGAGGAAGGAAGGAAGAAAAGAGGGAAGGAGGGAGGATACGTGCCCCCCCCCAGCCTCCCGCCGCGGCTCGCACGTAGCTCCGCTGAGGAGGGAACCCCGCGGCAGGCAGCGGGCTGGCACCGCGGGGGACGGCGCGGCATCCCCGCCGCGCACCGCACCGGGCCGGGCTCCCCCCTCCGCTGTGGGTGTCAGTGTCCTCGCCGTGGTTGCTACGGCGACCGCCTCCCAGCCGGGAGGCACCATCCTGCGGGAAGGGGGCCGGGGATGCCGCACGTCCCCATCCCCATCCCCCGGGAGAGGCTAGTCGATAGCAGCCCCTGGATAAACAGCTAAAATGGACGTGCTGCAGGACGGCACCAGGGGTAGATCCCACTAACTCCGTCACCTGGCTTCTCTTCTGCGTTAGTACCTATCGCGGCGGGGAGGGGGGGAAGGTGTTTTTTTATCATTAAAGAAAAGCAGGCACCCTCCTCTCGCGGAGATGTGCGGGTGGGAGCCCAGGGACGGCGCCGGGGAGGATCCCCGCTATGTATTTTTACATTTCCCCTCGTAGACCATTTTCTGGGAATGCCTATCAGGATGTGATGAGAGGCACTTCTTGGGAGCTCCAAGGTGAGGAGAAACTAGCCCGAGAAGAGCTGGGTCTTGGAAGCACCCGTCATGGGCAGGCTGGATAAAACTCATACACACCTAGTTTGCAGTCTCGGTTTCATTCAGTTCGTGATGAAACTTCCCCTGATCTTTTTTTTTCTTACTCTATGGAAAAGTCAGGTGGTAGAATTAATACTTGAATACACCTACCGTGCTCTACTGGTGATGAGCCCTACTAAGACCTATCCATTTCCCCCCCAAAATGGTTCTGTTATATAGGAGGTTGCTAGGGAGTTTCTATTTGTATCAATTTTCCACTCCATGGGTAATCTTGTATATCTTCCTATATTTTAATTTTACACCCATTATTTCTTTTCCAGCTCTTAACCCCCCTCTTCACTCCAGTATTTCTGCTTCTGTTGCTATGTTTGTGTTGAATTCTAATAGTTCTCTGCAGTCGCATGGGATGGAAGGCTGCTAACAAATGACACTGGGCCCTATTCGGTCACATTTGCTCACAGTGACTCATACCTTCATCTGCAAGTAGCTTTATTGATTTTAGTATCTACTATTTCTCCAAGAGCTGTCACCAGCGTGGTGGTGGTTCATCACCACCTTTCATCGCTTATAGTTATGATACTGTAAAATGTCCCATCCCCTTCAACTATCCTTTTGTCTTGCAAAGTTTTGCTGTCTGTCTTGCTCCATTTTATAGTTTTCCTTTTATTTTACCTGATACCATGAGTGTTGTCTTTAGTGGTCTAGTGGCTGCTGGGTGTCTGTGTCCAGCATGAGATGTTGTTTTCATATGGTGTTTGAGGTAGGCATGGTCTCCCTCCAACTTCATCATTCTTGGCATCTCTCCATTTGGATATTCACTTGATTTTTAGCATCATTCAATAACTTCCCATTTCAAATGGTCTGATAGTCCTCACTATTTATTTTTGGTGGTCACCATTCACAGACATGTGTGCTGGAGGATTATGTCTAGTATTTCATTATTCTGAGGTGGCTGGATGCACACATTTCCCTTTGTGAGGCAGGCCCTTTATTTTGTTTCTTTATCACACTGATACTGTTGAGCTCTCAGAAACGCTCCAAGAAAATGAAAGACTGGTTGCCATTTAGTAACCATACGCTGCTTCCAAAATACGGTGGTGTATGATTGCTCTGCCATGAGAAATTCTGGAAAGGTGGATGAATCCTGAGGGACAGATTTTCCTCAGAGCTGTAAGTCTCACTATGAATCACTGCAGTAAATCACCACAGAGTGCTCAAAGATGTAGCTGTTCGAATTTTTTTAATCAAATACGCAAACAAAGAGAGCATCCATAAGATTTCGGGAGATCTAGTTCATTCCTCCAGCAAAAAATAGCCACGTCAAGTTCATTAAACAGCATCTGCAGGAAACAGTACCTCTCAAAGTCATTGAAAATCAGTAGGTTCCTCAGGCCTGGGAAAGAGACAGGTAGCACAAGGTAAAATCCATACGGACAGGCACTTTCACAGCTTACTCCCCTTTGAGCTAGCATTAGATTGGGGCTAAGAAACTGGGGCTAGTGACAACAGGCTTGTCAAGGCAGTCCTTGAAATGGGGATTATGGCTTTTTGGGCATGAAGAACTACAAAGAACTGAGAAACGTGGGTTAGAAACACTGGGCTGGCTTTATAATCCCCATTTTAGTTCGTGGTCAGTGAGTCCAGCTGGTAAGAGGCACCACAGAACATAGGCAGATGATACGTAAAAAAAAAAGTTAATCCTTGTATGCCTGGAAGTAAGGGTTTGAAACCAGTGTGAGTATCACGTGTTTCCCTTGTGTTTGGGTTTCCAAATGGTTTTACACCTCCTGTCTGCGTCTCTCCCACCACATGGTTAGGAATACTAAAATGCCCTGGCAGGGAAGTGTCAGAGGACATCCTGCAGCACCCAGGATGCCTGATGTGCAGTTCTGCAAGCAAATGGCTCGCCTGCCTCAGTGAATCCCTACACCCACATGCCAGCAAGGTGCAGGGCAGGGCAAGGCACCGTCTTCTCCCATTAACCAAAAATATCTCTGAGATGCACTCTTGCAAAAATTATAGCCAGGAAAACATACCAACTGACATGGGGTTCATATAACAACTGCCCACCCTTTTCATTATTTCACAAATGTGTGATTCGTGCTTGTGAGCTGTCACCGTTAACATTTCCATCTGTCTCAATATTGCTTCTATTCTTAGTTGCTATGTGATAGATGTAGGTGTATGAAAAGGATTTTTCCCCCCTCCCTGTACCATGAAACAAAATAGATGAAAGTACATGTATCCACACATTTCATGCAAGCAGCAAGAAATATCGGCACCTTTGTGGCACTCCCATTACTAGAAGTAGAGG